GAAAGAGTGCTCACCTATAGCTCTCTCTATATGCAGTTCACACTGTGGCAGAATGAAGTAGTCTCTTTGCAGTTAGCGCTAAACAAAATGATTCTGTTTAAACCTTAAAATGAAAGAAATAGATGAGACAAAATCCCACCATATGGACAAAATCTGGCAAAACGTGTGACATCTTAAGTATTGTTCTGTGGCAGTTGAGAATAAATGGCCACCATATTATTTAATGAGAATATTATTTAAAATTGTTCATATCTACACTTTAAAAAGGTCAAAAGAATATAGATAAATCCTATACATAATCCAAAAAAGTAAATGTTTCTCTTACCTTATTTTTTAAAATTAGAATTAGAGATTCATCATAGCTACATCATCACATACATAAAAATAAAAATAAAAATTCAAGGTATATTTCCAAGTCACAGAAACTGCTGAACAAAAGATAGATTTTCTGGCATGGTATGGCTGTTTTATGCCATAATCTGTTCCTAATTTAACTCAGCAGTCTTAGGGAAGATCATTGTAACTGAAAAGTGATCCTCTGGTAGCAGAAACCTGGGGGAAAAGAGGTAGATTTCTATACCATAGAGATGATTTGGAGAGTGTCTAAAGACATCATATAAGAGATCACGAGTAAGTGTATATCCTAGTAAAAATGGACTTTGTATGGATCAAAGAAAAAGGAAGTAAAAGTAAAAGCCATTATAGTTTGAGAGGAGAATAAGGTAACTACACATATAGTCTCAAAAGAGGAAGTAATGTCCAAAGAGGGCAAATTAAATAGAGTATAAACTCTGGCAAGTTAAACGCAAACCCTCAATGAGGCAGGCTAAAGGAGAGTCTGAAGAGCAACATGTTAAAGGCATAAAAACTAATAATAAAAAGATCTTTCAAATACATCAGAAGAAATGATCAAAGCATAAAAGGAGCATCAAGGAAGGTAGACCACAAAAGCAAAATGAACTATTTATATCTATGTTCACTAGAGAAGTGTCAGGGAGATTTTATTACTTGCAGATGAACTATCTTAAACTGAATCAGCACTAGAACAAACTGATGTATTAAACATTGCCAAATTGCTAAGAGTAGATGACATTTGTCCACTGAGTTCTAGGGCAATGCAATTATGATGTTGCTAAAGAAATAATTATTCAGCATATTCTACTGCTTAACTCAGCATCCACACCAGAGGTAGAGAAGGTAAGAAAGCAATTCCCATTTTGGAAACTACAGGAGACACAGTAAGGCTGTATGGGGAAATTGATAGCAACCATAACCAATGATAGAATTACTAAGTGTTTAGGTAATAATAATTTGGGTAAGAGTTATGTCTTAACACTTACAAAGGAATCAAGTCTTACAAATTTGTTAGAAGTTTCTGAAGGAAATGAAGGAAAAGGGATCAAGTGATATCCCTGTGCAAAGAAAGTCTTCCAACAATTTTATCCAAATGCTTTGAGGAATTTAGATTATGAGAGAAGGTCCTCTCATAGATTATCAATCCATCAAAAGTAGGAAATAAATAATATTATTGGTGAATTTTCACTATGGAGAGATTCTCCAGATCATCTCAAAAAGACTTGGCAGACTACTAGTAGCTTTAGGTGATAATGCTTGCTGATGCCAAGTTACTGATACTAGTCAGTTCTAAAGCCCATAACACCATTTCTGAGTGGAAAAGACGGTAAAAAAACCCACAAACTAACACACAATACACAAAATAGGGAGGAGCACAGCTTTAACTGTTTATACGCAGTGATGGCTATGACTGAGAGCTTGGAGTTAATGGTAGAAGAGCAGAGAACAACAGAAACAAGTAAAAAATCCCCAACGTTACGCTTCTGTGTAAATCCACAGTGTGCCCAACACCTGTAGTCCTGCCTGCAGTTCTTACACCATCTCAAAGAAAACTACAAAAGGCACAGAGAGGGGCAAGGATCATCAGAGGTAAGACATTATCTTCATACCTAGAGGAATACAGAGTCTTGAGACAGCTGAAGTCTTTAAAACCAGAAATAGGGCAAAGACTATGAGTAAGAAAAGAACTGCTTTTATTTCTCACAATGCAAGAACTAGGGGTTCCCCAGTGAATTTATCAGTTAATGAGTTTAAAGCAAAGAAAAAGAAGTGCAATGCCTGATGAGGCTGTGGGATTCACTACCTGAGTGCCAAAGGTGTAAGCTGGTTCAAAAAGAGCTTTGAAAAGTTTATGCCTGGGTAGGTATCCTGGAGGCTTTTACACAGGATGGGTCAGATACAGAGATCTACTGAGTCACCAGGGCAAGGGTGGCTCTCAAACTCTTCTGCTCCTGGTTCTCCTCCTTACGCACTCACCACTGGGGCACAAGAGGAAGGTGGGCTGCATCAGGCTGCAGCTTGACCTGAGGAAGCTGCTCTTCAGCTCCTGAGCCTGGCTGCGGTTGCAGATCCTGTGGGGTACAGCCAGGTAGGTGCATGTTGCTCAGCACAGCTGAGATGGATACCCAAATAGTGAAATGCTATGTGAAGCTTCATGAGTTGATACACAAACACAGCAAGTGACCCTAGGTGGTGGCTAGCTGTACCCCATGATCCAACCAATTGCTCTAGTATAAAATATAATGCATATAACATAATGCAATGTGATTGAAACTGCAACTGGTAGCTCTGTAACACTAAGAGCAATATTTAAAAATTAGACTTTGTTTTAATTTTCATTTCCATTTGAGTAAAATCTATGCTCAGCTGAATGAAGGCCATAAAGTCAAATTCTGATAAACGTCATTCTCAAGATTTACTGTTTGCTGTAAAAATAGTAAGTGCAAGAGATCTCCCTCCACACCCTTTTATTTTTCCATTTTAAGAAGAAACATACAGAAGCTCCAATGTATCAGGGACAGCATTGTACTGAATATTTTCACAGCAAGATTTCTGAAACGGGTGTCTGGCCAAAGCAAAATTCTAATCAGCTAAGTCTGTATCTCACATAGGGAATAAGCAGTTATCAACACAAAAGTTATGGTAGTTAGAAATGTTTTATAGGGCATGCCTGTTCCTTTAATTACATCTGTATTTAAATCTGTGTTAGCATCATGCATGTTTTCTTTCCTATCCACAAACTCTTTTTACTATATCTGTTCTCCTCCGAAGTCTATAATCAAGTTTCAATTGGATCTTAAAATGCAGAGTTGTGCTTCAGTAAAATAAAACACCAAAAGTGTAGCAGCCTTTCACGGTTTTCTTCATTTAGCCTGCCAGAGAAAATCAAATAAAAAAATAATCGGCACTGTCACTTGAAGAAAAGAAAGAGAGAAGAAAGAAAGAGAAATACTTAAGATGGGCTTTAGCCAGGAGCATTTTATCCTTTATTCATCAGTGGTAAATGAGTCAGATATGAGTTGGCCAGGAAAAGAGCCGCTTTACCCAAAATCTGAGTTTAAAGTGAGTCATCTCACTCCAAGCACCAATATATCGTCCAACATAACTGGCAAGAGTTTCCCACAAAGAGATTCTTGCTGCCGCTCTCTTCATCTGGAGGCCTGACCATTCAAAGCTGAAGTCAACAGGATCTCTACCATCAATTCAGTGAAACAAGGTTAGAGATGCAGGCCAGAATTATCAGCCTGGGTGACCATGGTGGGAATTAAGAGAAGGTAAATTGGCTCTTGGCGTAATGAACAAACCTTTCAGGCTGCCCTGTCAGCCACAGCGCTTTCTGCTCTGATCTCACCCTACCTGTCACAACCAACTTTCCCAAAAAAACCCACTCAATGCAAAGGCTTGCAACAGGTCTTCAGAGGGCAGCCCTAACCTACAACGTGGGGAGGAGGCGTGCACCTACAATGGCTTCTCTTGAGAACTTGTGAGCCCAGATGTCTCCTCATGTCCCTGCAGCCCTGTTGTTTGCTGTAGAAAGGGGCTGGAGAAGGAGCATTGCATACTTGGTCCTTAATTACAACAAATGTAAGAAACATGAAACAGCAAAGTTGGACTCATCATTACACTACTGCAGTTTGTGTTGGTATGTGTCTATGAAATGAATGGCCCATTTTTGTGAAATGAATGAAATCGTACTGGCATGAAACCAGAGCATGCAATGTCTAATTTGTCCCTGGATTTATAATCCTGTGCTGGACTTTCATTCATGTGCAAAGTACAGCCAGGTCCTCTCAGGTGTCCCCGGAGCTCAGAGGTCTGTGCCCTCAAAATCAGACATTTGGGGTCATAATTTTTGATTCCATATTCCTCTTTTCATTCAGCCGGAGGAAAACAAAGAGAATGATGTCCCGAAGCCTACAGAAAACCTAACTATCAATTTTGGCCCAGTGTGACAGCACTTAGGTTGTCTTGTCGCTCTCTGATGGCAATTGGCTTCGGGTGACTTCTTTGTGGGTTACGAATGTGGAAACAGAATTAGGAATGCGTGCGTGCATAGGGTTTTTTTCTGTGCTGCTGAAGAATCTCTACAGCACCACAGAAGATCTTTCAGACGAAGCCATTTTTCCACAGAACAATTCATCATGACGGATTCATCCCTATAAGAGTCCAGAACTGATGAAGTGTAATGAATCTGGCAGCCACATGAATTCCACTTGTGTACATTTCAGCACATCCATTTTTTCCAGTTCTCTCAGCTCTGCTCTGAAATTCTGTTTTCAGAATGGGTGGAAACTGTCACAGGTTATCAGCAGGTAGGTAATAAATACAATAATTAAGGGCAGTGTTAGTCAAAGTGTTATTTTGTTTAAG